AAATCTCCATGGCAGTTATTCAAAATGGGATACTTGTTTAATATCTCACTTGAGAAATGTAAAACAATATCAATCCAATTTTGATTTCTTATCATGACCTATATTAATGTAATTGAATTTTGGGGGAAATTTTATTGGTGGGAGATGGTATTTTAATGCTTCTTTGCTGGAAGATTTGGGTTTGTAAACCCAAATCTAAATATGTTTTTTCAAATAAATAAAATTTAATCTACCGGGGACAGTTTCAGGTATATTTAAATCATTCATTTGTGATAAGATAATACTGTACCCGATGTGTCTGGTGGAAAAAGATGCATGGATTACAATATAGAAAATTTGAATTAGAAATAAAAGAAATACTGAAACAATATTTCATAAAACAGACTCAGGCTAGTATATAACACTTTTAGATTTGCTAAACAGAAGTTAGATCACCTATATGCCATGGTCCCAGATTTTTTTAAAACATTAATGAATTTTTAAAGATTTGTCCATTTCTATGGATACATCTATCAATTAATGACAAGGGCAATCTGCACAATTCTTTGCAATTTTTTCGTGTATCCTTTAAAGACCTTTACCACACACTCTGATATTTCACACAATTGGATCATTGGATATGATTATCACTTTTGTGGTTTCATGATTTTAAAGCTTGGAAACCCTCAAAGGATCTGACTGAGTAGGTTTGTGTGAGTGTGGTATACATACACACACGCACATTTGGGAGTTTCAATAAGCATGGGGTGGTTGTTATCAATTTGATAACTTTTTACATCCTTTTTATCACACTTAGATAGCTCTTCTAATACATAGTGACCTCCTCAAAATGAATTCCTAGTGTGTTTAATGGGCTCTTTTCCTCCACCAGTATGGAAAATATGGCTGTAACAAATTTAAATAAATACATAAATGAAAATAATGATAGGATTGTAATTTTAGTTGTCAGGCAAGCATATCTATGTGGTATAAAAATTTAGGATTAAATCGGTGGCTTTCTATGTTTCTTTGGTGAATTTGCTCAAGTATATGACATTTGTATCCTGCCTTTTCATGAATAAATTCAGATAGATTTTGATGTTTCTGTTTTTACATTAAACTCGAATTTTAAAAAAAAACACACATTTCCTTTTCTTCAGCCTTTATTATCCCAGTCCTTTGTTTCTAATAAAGATTATCCAATATGCTTTTTAGGTACTAACACGGCTTCTTTATGCCTTCTTACACAAAAACCTATTCCCTACATCCTGCATAACTAACCACAAAAAGCAGAAATAGAGCCCCTGTCTTCTTTCCACGAGTGAACTAACTTATGAACTCCGGCCCTTCTGCTTTTTTTTTCTTTTAATTTGGGAGAGAAAACTGGATTTTACCAAGCCCCTCCCGGCTTCTCCCTTGCAGTCAAAACGAAGAAAGACGAGGCGAGGGCGTCGAATTTCACTTCCTGTCACCTGGCAGGAGTCCTTTGTCTGTCCTTGAATGCTATTTAAGGGCAGGACGGAGCAGCCGGTCGCGGACAGTTTGTTAAAGAGTTAACTGGAGATTTCCTCGGAAAAGGGCGCCACCCTCTCTGACGGTAGAGTAGCCTATGAGTCAGTTTCACCTGAAACTCTACAGGTAAGTAAGTAAAGGAAGCAAAACGAAGAAAAAAGGAAAAGGAACCGGAGCCAAGATCCGGAAAGAAAGAGGGCCCAAGGCTCAAAGCAAGAGAGAGCCCGCTCGGCTACGTCGCAGGGGCTGCCCCGACAGCTTCGGGTTGAGGCGGCGGGTTTCCCAGCCGCCGACCGCCTGCAAGCGAGGCCAGGAGTGCCTGCCGGACGCGGGGCGGGGGGCAGAGAGAGGCTTCGGGGCGGCCGATCTCGCCCTGAAGAAGAGGAAGGCAACTTGGGAGAGTCATTTCTCGCAGAAGGGCTCGAGTTCCAGGGACCCCGCTGGAGAAAAAGACGCTCGGAGGAGAGACGGAGGTGAACGGTCCTGCTCGTCCGGAGCCTTTTCTCGCCTCTCTGCTCGGTATTCGGGGGCGGATCTGCCTTTGAAAAGATCTCGGGGCCCGGAGAACTGCGCTCGTTCCGCTCGTTTGGGCTGAGATGGGCCGAAGTAGGGGCCGGCTACAGGCCGGACTCCTGGTGACTTTGTTTTTTTTACCCGGCCTGGTTCTCGGTCAGGAACAAAATGGGGACGGAACCTCGTTTGGAGAAATGTGTCTTGGCCAATTTACGGCCGGGTTTCCGGAGTTTGTGCTGGACACGAATGCCTCGGTGGAGAACGGCGCGACCTTCCTGGCTTCGCCGCCGGTGGAAAGCAGCCGCGATTGCGTCCGCGCCTGTTGCAAGAACCCGAGTTGCAACTTGGCCCTGGTGGAGCAGAGCCCCGCAGGCGATCCCGACGGCGTCCAGAGCTGTTTCCTCCTCAACTGCCTTTACGACCAGGCTTTGGTCTGCAGGTTTGCCAAGAAGGACGGCTTCCTGAACTATGTCAGACGGGAGGTTTACAACGCTTACGCGACCATGCGCAACCGAGGCAACAGCGGTAAGGAGACCAGAGCCCGCTTCTCAGCCAAGGGTGCCCAACCGGGGTTGGAACCGAGAGAAGCTGCTGTCTTCCCTCTCAGTCCCGCAGTTGTGCCCAGTCCGAACTGGTTGGTTTGGTTTGACTTGGCCTGTCGTGTGAACCTGCCGGCTCTGGCAGCTTCTGGCTTATGACAGCAGGCCGGTCTCAAGATCTTAAGCCCCAAGTCACCTGTCAATCTTAGCGGCTCTGAGCACCACTGCTGACCATGATTGCTGGAAAATGTTAGGGTAGTTTCACACAATTTTCATTTGGAAACATGAAAACAAAAGTATAAGACAAGACCATAAGCATTTTTCAGTTAAAAAAAATAAAAATACTTGCCCTGATCAGTATCTTCAACAAGCAATGTCAAAATGACAACAGCTGGGTCATAATATCATTGAGAAAAGGTTGCAATTTAATACTTGCCTCTGAACATCAGACACATCAGATGTAAGTTGCATCCTTTGTGTCAAGATTGGTACGTCATTGTAGGCCATGCTATGGATTCCCATGGCTAGAGTTTTGGCCTCAAATCATGCTCCAGTCACATGTGTGAATAAACTGAACTGGTCTTTAGGCTCCCCAAACTATAGGCATGTCTTGGCTATTTGGCATAATGTGGTGGACATCAGCTAACACTTGTCTTGATGACAAAATAATTGAAACAAACCTTGGCATAGTGTGACCCCACCAATCCCACAGTTCCCAAACTACGCACAAGGACATCACAGTGAACTCACAGGAGAGGTCGCAGGATATTTTACTACATAATAAATGGAACTGTTAGTGAGTTTGCTGCAGTGTTCTGGGTGCCATGACACATAGTTTGGGAACTGCAAGGGATGCCATGAACCAAGAAAATTCAGGAACCTTTATCCCAGCCATTGGTATGGTACATGGCAGCAAAAGGTTACTAACCACACTGTAGCCTTGGCATGACTACTTGATCGTGTGGTACTAAGGCAGCAACAGTACAGAGGTGAGGGTATTATTGAAACAGTGTAATGCAAATCAGAAAAAAGCCTTAAATGAGTAAACTATGGTACAGTTAAATATGAGTAAGGCTATTTTGTGAGCATGGTGTCTAAAATGGTGTTAGACGCAATTAAATGATAAGATTATCAATGGCTGTAAGTAATGAGAGTTCCTTTCTATCTCTAGAGTACATCACAGGATACTTCTGATACCAGTTGTTGGGTGACCTGAATAGCAAAATGCCTTGCTCCAGTTTTACTTACGGGTTTTTCATTGACTGTCATAAATGGATGGCCTTTTAATCGCTACATAGAGTGATAGATTGCAGTGGTTGTAATGAAATGTCTGTGGAGATTCTCACTCATCCAGGTTGTGGTTGTCCCAAAGCTGGTTTTTCAAAAGACAACTGGACTTTCAAAAAAACCAAATAAACCCCAAAGCCCAGTTGCCTTTTTAAAAACCACCTTTGGAATTGTAATTAAATGCTTTCTGAGTCTTTAAAAAGACAATTAATGGAGTAATAGGTTGATATGACACTGTGAATTAAACCTAGTGAGTAATCCAATTCTTGTGTGACAGGTACTAGGGGCAAGTTTTGGGGAATATTATTTCCTGTTGGATTTTGATCATGAACATTAAACGCCTCTCTTACATTCTGTTGGAAGCAGAATAATGAACCTGGTGGACTTTGGTCTAATGAAGAAAGGAAATTATTGTCAGAAATTGATTTGAGTGGGGAGGTACGCGCAACATCATTTGTAGGTTAGCACTGAATCTCTTCTCCCTGGAAAAGAGCAGTAGTGCAACAATTCCCAAGTTTGTTTCATTTAGGATACAAAGTATTGATTTCTATTTATAGATGTCATTTGCAGGGTGAAAACTGGATTTCTGAAAGTTGTAGAACATCTGGAGAATACCAACTTGTAGAAAACTGGTAAAAATACTTTCTAAATCTCCATTTGTGTATCTGCAGAAAAGGGTGAACAATATCAAAATGGTGGTTATGATCTGGACAATTGAAGTCTTAACCGTGTTTCTATGTGCAACGCATAAGACATATGTTAAAACGAGGTGGGTCTTCGATCTCCCAGTTATACCTGCTATTTTGATGTCATTTACCATCCCCAATACCCTTGTGGCTCTGTTTGACTTAAAGACATGGGACCTGCATGGAAGGAATATACCACAGTACAGAACAAAATTATTATGTTGGCAAAGGGTTCTAAACAGAGCCAGTGGTTAAGGTGTTGGCCTAGAACCCAGGAGACTGTGAATTCTAGGCTTCCTGATTCATGAAAGCCGACTGATTGATTTTGGACCAGTCACTCTCAGACCAACCCAACTTACAGAGTTGTTGTAGGAAAAATAGAAATAGGTATAATCACTGATATTTTGGTCTCTTTTGGTTGTTCTTTAGTCCGTTTCATAAGTGGTACAGTTTGTGTGCATAATTAATACCATTGTATAATAAATGTGCATACCTGTATCAATATTACATTTGTTCTCATGCATGCTTTTGAATAATTGCTGATCTTGTAAATGTTCTTAAAAACTGTCACAAAGCTAATTCAATGTTGGTCACTCAGTCAAATGTCAGCATTAAAAACCAAGTTGAACTTCTTGTACTGAGGCCAGTGTTCTAGGAGATTGCTATGGGTCAGGGGTCTTCAAACTTGGCCCTTTTACAACTTGTGGACTTCAACTCCCAGAATTCCTCAGCCAGCGTTCCTGGCTGAGGAATTCTGGGAGTTGAAGTCCACAAGTCATAAAAGGGCCAAGTTTGAAGACCCCTGCTATAGGTGATCAGACATAGGAAAATATCTTTGCACATCACAAATAATGCATCTGATTGTAGCCATGTTATAGAAATAGATGATAGTATACTTCTGTTAATTTTGATCTAAGATCCACTTAATGCTTGTGATAGCTTTGTATTATTTCATTTTTTTTTAAAAAGGGAGCACCCCAGCAGCTAATTGCTGAGTGAGAATATTCTCCCTACAAAATGGCATAATCAAACTATCAAAACAAGTGATACTTGACCTAGATCAATACTGTAGCCCTCTAGAATTACTGAGGGCTGCTTCATCACCCAGATTAGATGAGGATTGCTGTAAATTGTGGTTCTTCAACAATTCTGTACTAAGCACTAAATTGCTAGATCTGGTAAAATTGAAATTACATTTATTTTCTGAATATTAAGTCTTTCTGAAAATGGTAGCACTTTTGAGGAAGATCCATCAAACTTCTGTTTTCTTCACATTTAAATGTGTGCATTTTAATGTAAGTTTTCACCTTTTAATACCATAAATTAGCTACCATATTTGAACATTTCTATAGGATTAAAGAACCTGAAATACAAATGCAATTTCTACGTACAACACAAATGTAAAGAACAGAGTTTGGTAATTGTTAAATCATATAAACTAACCATTGAGTGCCGTGATAATGGTGTTAACGGTATTTGTTATGTTCAGTCAACAAAATTTCCATAAAATCTCCATTGCTACTTAGTCAACCTTAAATTTAAGATTCAGATGTACTTTCTCCTATTGTAAATAATTTCATTATTACCTACCTGTAAGTAAGCTTCTCTGGTTTTATAATCATATTATAACTAGCCAGACAATTATTATTTTTTAAATTTTTGGTTTTCTATACTTTAGCCCAAGAATGATGTACTTTTAGATAATTGTCTTTACACTTTTCTCTGTAACCAAATCAATTTAATATCTAATTTATAAGTGGGGAAGACCTGTCCAATTAGGTAAGAAAGGTGCTTGGGTAAAGAACTATGATACATATGACTTTCCCCTTGTTTTAAGGTAATGTTCTTTCGTATAAATCTGTCTACATATAGAAAGATCATACATAATGTGAGGTATGGTCCCCAGTTTGGTGACACGTAGAGGAAATAATGCTATTCCTAGGGAGATCTGATTGATGCCTGCTTCTCATTTTTGATCAGTTTCTAGGCAGATAAATAAAAGTCCCATGGATTTATGTCTGCAGTTTTCAGTTTGTTGATCTTTCCTGTTCTGTATTTAGTTTTAATTTTAAAGCTACAGAGATGGAATGGGAGAAGGATGAAGGATGAATCAATCAATATTTGAGATGGCAAGGCAGTGCATTTGGATTGTAGCCAGAGAATATATGAATTCTTTAGCTCTGACATATGGTGAACTGGGTCAGGAGGTGGGGAATAATGTAGAAGGTAGGAGGTTTGTTTGAACAGGATAAATGAGAGCACCATGAATTCATTTGTTAGAGACAGTGTTAACAAAACCTCTGAGCAATAAGATGATTTCATTTACCTGGTAGAGATTTTGGCACTATTTTGTTCCCGATTTTCCTGGAACTTTTAGAGACATCTGATCTGGTACAGGTTCTAAAATACAGGTGTTAATCACATTTACACAACTGATACCAAATTGTATTCAGGTAATTGTCTTGGGATTGCTTAGGATAAGTTGGGGACAAATTTGTGTTCTTTTGAGTTATAGCTTTTTCTAACAATCATAGCTACAGTATTTGAGAATATAAGTAATCCCGATTTAGTGACCACAATTGGGATGGACAGGAGGTGAAATTGTTAGTTTTTTTTATCTCCTGTCTGCAAATTATTAAAGTCTATGTGTCAACAGTCCCACTCGGTCATCTAGCAAAGAAAGATTTCTGGCCATTTATTTTTGCCAAGTGTATACCTTACTGAAGCTTAGGTGGTTACAGAAGTAGCATAAGCTGAATCTGAGGTTTTCCAATGCAATCAGTACAATACAAAGTAGCTTTTCCCCTTCCCCTCCCCTCCCCTCCCCCCTGCCCCGCCCCACCATCCCCTAGTTATCCCCTAGTTATCTGTGGAATTCTGGGAGTTGAAGTCCACATGCCTTAAAATTGTCAAGGTTGAGAAACACTGAGTTAGGTGCTTGTATATTGTTTAGGAAACAGATTCTTGGTTCCTAACTCTGCATATTGATAGATGACCTTGGCTGGCTGAAGCT